TCACCACTGATCGGCTCGTTAGCCGCTTGGGCGATCGGTTACGTCTCTGATTACTTTTTCTTTTCTTTTATCCTCTTCACCAAAAGATCGGCTCGTTAGCCTCTTGGGCGATTGGTCACGTCTCTGTTATGCACTGTTGGCAAGTACAGGGCATGCACCAGCTCCTGAATGTACCTGAACCCGCTCCAGTGTTGGTCAAGTCTTGTCTTGAAAGAGCTCACACTCGGTGCCGTCACAACACTCTCTGGTAGATTGTTCCAAGAGTTCACAACTCTCACTCCGAAAAAGTTTTTCCTCACAGTTTTCTGGACTTGCGGCTTCTTCAATCTTGAGTTGTGACCCCTTGTGGGGCGAGCGTCCGCCAGCTCCAAGTAAGGACACTCGACTGAGTAGTGCCCCCCGAGATGCTTATACACTAGGGTGTGTCAATTTTGTCAACATGTTAAAAATCAAATTTGGTAGTCAAAATATTGTGCCTCTTTATGTCTAAACTTGAGATTAGCAAACAAAAATGAATTGAAATAACCCTCACCTACATCAATTATACCTTAAAGTTTCAAATATCAGTATTTCAACAAATTAATGAGACTTGATTAGAATTATTCACTTGATATTAACTAATCTCATGTAAGCATATGGATTATGGAGTATTTTATGGTTCTATAGCTTGTGTACAATATGCATGTCAGAACATGAACATGAACAGGCTCTCCGTGTGGGACAGTTTAATTCTTGTTTTGACTTGTACCAAGCGTGAGGATAAGGCGCCCGGCTCACTCTCCTTCTAGATATCATAGATGGTGGTTTGCTCTCATTGCACTTGCACCTACTCTACCAGACGAATTCTACATTTTAATTATTGTAAGTAGGGCATATTGATTGTCGCAGTTACTTATATCATTGTATAAAACATTATGTTCTAAGAAATTATTATGTTATTTCTGTTACAGCATTTTTGATAAACAAATTGATATTTTTTGAAACAACAATTGAATTATGAAACATTGAAATATTTTTCTATTTGTCAGATAGTGTGAAGATGTCAAAATTGAAGACAAGAAGTCAGTTGTCAACCCACTTGAGCCTGCTAGTTGGTAAAGGGAAGGAGCTTCCTGTATCAGAACTTCCAACAGTGAGAGACATGCTAAGATTAGGGTTACTCCTTCGAGAAAAAAATGCAAAGGACAGAAGGAACTATACAGATAAAGAACTCATAAATGACATGATAGTCCCTCTTCTGCATCAATGGACAAAAGCTAATGCACTATTCAAACCACCTGTGATTAATCAGTGTCGAACTATTGAGCTAAAACTAACGAAATTATGGCACAAAGCAGTTGAAACATCACTTGGTAAAGGAAACTTGGCCAGGAAAAATGAATTTCTGCACACACTTGATACTCTGTTTGACATTTTGACCTGCAAGTGCTCCATACAATTATGTTCTGAATCCAACTGTTCTCACTCAGGTAAGAGAGAAAATAATTCCCACATTGATTGTGGTTGTCCTCGTGAAAAGAAGATCCCTGTTTTAGAGCTTGAATTTATAAAGGCACAGAGGACAAAGGCAGAAGGCCAAGGAAGTATGCAAATGGGTTCAATAGATTATTCAGAAACAAAGAAGCAGATTGCTAATGCCAAGAAGAGAGAACAAATCCGAGAGAGGGAACAAAAGAAGAAAATGAAGAGTGAAGAAGCCATCCAAAGAGAGGAAGAGCTGTGTCAAGATGTTTATCACTTCTTTGATAGTTCTTCTGATGAACAGGAAGCAACATCAGATGATAGTTCCAAAGAGCCATCTGAACCTTTACCAAAGAAAATGAAATACAACACAAGAAATATTTCAAACATTGCTTTAGCTAGTATTCGCCACCATGCTGGACTTCGTGAGGCTGCAGAAATTGCAACTGCCGCTTGGATAGATGCAGGCCTCATCAGCCGAGAGGATGTATCTTTGGTGATAGATCATAATAAAATTAGAAGAGCACAAGAAAAAATAATGAAGGAAATATCTGATCAGCATGAAAAAGATTTAAGCGAGGGAGGGCTCTCCTGTCTTTTGTTTGATGGAAGAATAGATGACACAAAAGTTTTGCTAGAAGTAGAGGGAGTGAACAGAAAGTTTCCAGGTCTCATCAAAGAAGAACACTACTCTGTCTGTTCTGAGCCTGGTGGTCGGTTTTTGTTTCACTTTGCTCCCGAAACTGAAGTAGAAGGGAAGAAACATGCAGAGGTCATTGCTGATCATATTTTATGTTGGGTTCAGGAGAGAGGACTTGGCAGTTCACTGCAGGCTGTTGGTGGAGATTCAACTGCAGTGAACACCGGATGGCAGGGGGGTGTAATGACGCATTTAGAGAAAAAACTAGGAAGAAGACTTGTTTGGATTGTATGTGATTTACATACAGGCGAGCTACCTCTTCGTCATCTCATCCAGGAACTTGATGGTCCTACAAAGAGCAACAACAAGTGGTCAGGTCCCCTTGGCATCATGCTGGATGAAGCAACACAACTAGAAATAAATACAACCTTTCCAAAGGTCGAAGTTGGCCCTCCCCTTCCGGCGTTGTCTGAAGGAGTCATCAAAGATCTCAGCACAGATCAATCCTATGCTTATCGTATTGCCCAAGCAATAAGATCAGGAGAAGTGCCTCAGTCATTGGCTCTCTTGGAGATTGGACCTGTCAGTCACAGCCGTTGGTTAACTACAGCTCTTCGTTTCTGCAGGATTTGGATTTCCAAACACGAATTGAAGGGCAAAGTGCTGAAGAATTTGAGGTTAATTGTTGAATTTATTATTGGAGTTTATCTTCCCCAGTGGTTTAGTGTGAAACTTAATCCTATGTGGGTGGATGAGCCCAATCACCTTTTGTTTCAATTGCAGCTAGTAAGAACACAGAGGAAGGTAGTGAGGGACATCGTGTTACCTGTGGCAAGAAGGTCCGCTTGGTATGCTCGATCAGAAGCAGTTTTGCAAGCAATGCTTTGCAGTCAATGTACCAATCTCCGAACCGAGGCTGTAGAAGTCATTCTAAAGATTAGAGGAACGCTAATAGATGACGACCAGTTGGGAGACTGTTCGTTTCATTCAAGAAAAGTTCCCCAATAAACGTCAATGCCACCAAATTGTCAGAATTGGTTGACTTGAGTTTGGAAGTCTTAGAGCCACCATTGACAACAAGTCTAACTAGCCAAGAATTGAGAAACCTTAAAGAGACTCCAATGCAGGTGCCGAAGTGGCCTTCCCACACTCAAAGTGTGGAGAGATGTGTGAAAATGGTCACAGAAGCAGCGGGCCATGTTTACAGCCACGAGAGGCGAGAAGGTTACATCAAAGCACAAATAGCAAGCAGACTACTGATGACAAGAAACCAAAGCAAAGAGAGTATGAAGGCATTGGTTACTTTCAAATAGACTACGGATAATAAAATATAATAATTTGAAACTTGAAACAGTAACATGTGTGCAAACGCTGGTTATGTTATAAATTCACAAATATGTACATTTAAAAATCCATTTGATGTAGGTAGGACTTATTATAAAAAAAAATTTATGCCAGAATATTGTTTTGCATGCTTAAAGACTACAATAAATTGCTACCAAATTACTCGATTTTCAATTTAGCCAGTTCACCCCCTAAATTGACACACCCTATTATACACCTCAATTAGGTCCCCCCCCTTGCCCGTCTGTAGTATAAGCTAGGCAAGTTCAGGCGCTCCAATCTCTCAGGGTAGCTGAGTTGCCGAAGGGCAGGCACCAGTCTGGTGGCCCTCTGAACATTTTCAACCAACTGTCAGTCCCTAGCATATCTCGGGGACCAGACGGGGTGACAGTACTCTTGAAGATCGTTAGGAGGGACGTCTAGATATCTGAATGACCTTCTTATAAGACCCACTAATTTATTTGCTTGATTTACCTTCTCGCAATGGCCCCAGAACTTCAGCTCATTGTCAACATACACACCTAGGTCCTTCTCATATTCAGTCTCAAATAGTGCAGTTTCTTCATCCCGTTGGGACATAGGATACGACTCCTTACCGTCTTGAATTTCTGGGTTTCTTCTTAACTTTGTCGGCCGCTGCATGGATCCCCTCGTATTCCTAGAGGCACTGGGTTTGGTCTTGGGTATATACAGTATTTATCGATCAAATGGGTCACTTTACTAGTTATGATATTCAGCGTAGTGTCTGCGTTCTTGTGCCTTAATGAGTCAGGCCAGTGGATACCCCTCATCTCTTCCCTCATCCCGTTGTAATTTCCCCTGTAATATTTGCACCTTGGCCTGGCCTTATCTTGAACTAGGTAACAGTTCATGTCACAATCGATAAGCCATTTCCCAATAAGGTTTTCACAGATACGGAATTTAAGGTCCCTCTGGTTAACTCCCCAATTCTGGCATTTGTCCCACCTGATACACTTTACACTGCAGTAAGGGATGCATGCAAGCAGTTAACATCAACTCTCTATTACTTCAAAAAACTTTCTTCGTCAGTAACAGTGCTTTAACCTTTATTAGTACTTAGTCCACCCCTGTGAACGGAAGATAAATGGTACAGATGGTTTACTGTTTGTTTTAGCTATAGGAAATGGGATTTAGGTGACCGTGGTGACGCGTTGTGTGACCTGGTTTAGAGACCCGGGACAGATGTGACCCAGCTATTAGGTTGGCTTTTGGTGCTCCTGTATTAACACAAGATAATAAAAAGCATAACACAGTAACAAAATCGTAGAACAAACACCCCAAACGGCTGATATGGTGATAAATAGTGAAATATAGATAATGATATCTTTCCAAAGTTTTCTAGAACCTCATACAGTACTTGGTAGGTGACGCCTCAGGAACCAGATTTTATTCCTATTATGAAAAAAATATAACCTTAACAACGCAATTAGAGCCAAACAAAACATATTTTCATTCATATTTTAGGTTAATTTTATATACATATATATTTTATCAAGAGGGATTAGTAAATATTGTTGAATAATAACAAGTGGTTATTGGGTTCTCATTTGACCACTGCTAAGCGTCCGCCATCTTTGCTCGGTGGGGCCAACTGAAGGTGTCTCCCTCCAGGTAAACAATCCTGCAGTATTGAGGGCTCAGGTATGTCTTTATATTGTGGTTATTATCCGTTAATTGATGTATTTATACGTGGAATTATTTTTGTGAAGATTTACCTGGATGACGATGTTATAAACTAGGGCTAGGTTAGGGTCTACCGTGGACCATGACATGACTCTGATACCCATATTAACCTCCCACGAGCCATGACAACGACGGTGAAGGTGGAGGACACAGTTACCATGAGAAATAACTTATGGTATTGAACCAGTATTTGCATGATACTGAACACGAGAATGCACAGAACCTATTACCTTACGACCTGAACTGACCTGACCTTAACTAACCTACCTAACCTTAACATACCTAACCTGTGTATTGTCGTTTTGATTTTATTACTATTATCCAAACAACATCTCTTGGAAAAGTAAAGGTAATCCTGGAGCAGACGGCAAACACCAGAATGCGTCATTAAATTTTCTTCATTTTTCACACGTTCTGTGGATGATTCGATATTATTGTCGGTCAGTTTATAGTATCGCACCGGTCTTTATTTTTATATTAAAAATAGGTTTTCCTAGGTATTTTGATGAGTTTCGAACGAATTTGATATTTATTTCCACCGGAAATACGTGGTTTTTTTATCCCCCCTCCCCCCAACAATCGTAACGGAAAAGTTGTTTTTTAGAATAAATAAAAAATATTACCAACCAACCAAGAAAATCTAACCTAACCTAACCCGTTGTTCATGCCCCAGACGCTTAAAGAGCGAAGACGGAGGCTTGGAGTGATGCATGAGCAGGGGGTCAGACCACCTCCGCCATAAGTAAACAAATCACGGCGACACTTGTGACTGAGCGAAAGAAATAATCTTGAAAATTTAATAATGAGTTACTTAATGCACAAAGGCAGAACATACCATACAGAAAACTAAGATCAGACAACAATGATCCTAAATGGATAAATAATTATTTAAAGAATATTATTGGACAAAGGAAGGCTATAGGTAGAAGAATAAATCGTGGTGAAGCTTACCTCCGAGACTATTATAAGGCATTGGCCGGTAGGGTTAAGACCGAGATAAGAAAAACGGGAATAATGAACTGGAGGTAGCAAGGGAGGCGAAGTCAAACCCCAAGGGATTCTTCCAAATGTCAAACTAAAACCTGAGGAAAGATTGAACCAATACAGTCAGATACCGGCGAGCTAATGATAACGACGGAGAAATGAGCAATAATCTGAATACTGGGGTAAATATTTTTCAACAGTTTTCACCACCGAAAATTTGAACATGATACCCGAGGCACCGACTCTATACAGAGATAGTGAAGAAAATAGATTAAGCGAGATAGTTGTGACTTATAACGACGTTAGTAAGCAAATAGACAAGTTAAAGCCTCATATGTCGCCAGGTCCTGATGAGATATTTGCCAGAGTATTACAGGAATGTAAGGAAGAGCTTAGTATGCCCTTATCAAATTTGTTTAGCATGCCCTTAGAATCGTGTGTAGTACCAGAATCCTGGAGGATAGCGAATGTAATAGAGGTGAGATTTGCCCTCCTGCACCAGAAGGCCTTCCTGGGACTCAGTGTCATCCCATTCATCTTGGTAACCCTGACACCAGCAAAGGGCAGAAGAATACAAGACCTGGTTGACCTCTACCGGGAGGACCTGCCATCTTCTGGCAGTATCAAGAGTGGACATAAACCAAGTAATTGACACATTTACACATAGAAATCCCAGGAAGATGAAATTTACAAATTTACTTGCTGAAAATTAAAGATGTTTTATGTTTGTGCAAATAAAATATTTTAAGAAAATTTTATGACCTCTATTAGCTTTCAGTCAGTGTACTGTACATACAGTAAAGATTAGGATGCAAAAAGATAAAAATGTGTTACACAGTACAGTACAGTCTCTCCGACTTACGACATTCAACTTACAACAACCCGGACATGCGACGGCCGTGGTCGTTTAAAATATTTTTCACATTAACGTATTTTCGAGTCCCGACGTGATTGCGCTGTGTACTGACAAAATTTTAGTTTGTAATTTCCTTTAAAATGGCTGGCAAGTGAAAAGTGAGAGTTCTCGTGGTGCTGAGAAGAAAAAGAGACACCCATTTTAGAATTTCTATGTATTATTTTTGCCTTTCCGACTTACGACCTGGTCGTCGGGACGGAACCCTGTCATAAGTCGAGGAGACAGTATTTAGGTATATATTTAGTGCAATAAATGAAATTTATATATTTTTTTCTTTTATCTTGATATCATAACCATTGGGATGCAAAATAAGGTAATTATTGATGACTAACCCACGGCCAAAATTCAAAATAAGGTAATTATTGATGACTAACCCACGGCCAAAATTCATAAAAAAAAAATATTGTTTTAGGGGTGCCGCTTTTTTTTTTTTTTTTTACAGCGGGCATTGTTGTAGTTTGTGCAAATGTGTTAAAAATTGATTTCTAAAGCAAATGTAACCTAACCTTAGTGGATATGAAAAACAGACCTCTCCAACCAAACCTACCTAGGCACCCAGAACCCCCTGTATATTAAACAGTAAGAATTTACTATTATATGGTGTAATTTTAGGGGTTGTTTGGACGTGAGACCACCGGCAGAATTGACGCTTATGCAGTCTGGGCGACGGAGTGATTTGTTTTGAGATGGCGGGAAACGCGAGTCACTGCGTTGAAGTGATGAATGATTGTTTTCAATCAACAACTGACTTAGCACACAAACCAAGTTCTATTTCACAGTATTGCTGTGAACAATACTTTCTACTTAAAGGAACGATGCCGTGGTCTTTGAAAAACTGAAGGTCTCGTTGTCTTTATCCCTAAATTCACAATTTACATCCATATAAGACCGGCGACAACCTTCACACGTCATGCTGAATATGAAACTGCCGCAGGGAAGAGGCGATTCCTCTCTAGAGCGCAGCCTCATTACTGCCTAGAAGACAAGTGCATGCCTAGGTGCCTAATTACTGTATCTACCAAATGAAGTATTTCCACAAGAAATTATTATCATATCAGAACTCACGGATGAAATAAAGTAAGAAAATAAACAGTAAAACATATAACTCGTCCGCAGGTCAGTCACCAATATTAACCCAAAATAATAATAATGTGTTATACAGTATGCATGTACAGTATTCCGCTCAATAAATTCATGTATATTTTGTTTGTACAAATTAATATTAAATATGCCTCTGAAACCCTTCGAGTAACAATTGTTTCTCTATCAGTAGTGCTCTGTAGTTTACCATGTTGGCTCCTCGCCTAGCTAAAATATTTGGACCCCCCACCCAAATTTTTGGGTGCACCCTTGCCTGGTGGTCGTGGAGAGGCTGGCTTGAGTGACGGTTTCCGGGGCTTGGGGTTGTGCTAAAACCCCTCGCACTCATCAGACACAGAGAGTTCAGGCTGAGCTGCAGAGGGACTTGCCAGAGCTGCAGGGGGGCTAAGCTGAGGTGCAGAGGTAACTGGCTGAGGTGCAGAGGGGTAGGGGCAACTGTAAACTGGCCAAAAAACCATGTGATGGTAGACTGGTGTAGCTGATTGATGTTATGGCTTGTGTAGAGGTCTTTGTAAGGTCAATCTCCAGCGCCTGTGACACATTCTCTGCCAGGTGTGGGTTGGCTTCCATTAACTTTGCCTTGAGGGTCTTGGCTATTTCCAGGATCTTTAAAACTGGGTACTGTATTTACCAATTACGCTTTCCAAATTAGATGATCTCCCACTAATCCAATTTCAGGATGCAATCATTCTGCCAAATTCTAAATAGATGTGCTAGACCTTACCATTTCCTCTAATATGTCATGGAAGCCACATATCCATAACATTACTAAAGCTGCCTCATGAAAGCTGGGAATGGTGTACAGATGCCGTAGCTACTTCACTCCTGAACAGTAGCTTCAAGTTTATAAGGGATTCATTCGTCCTAACTTGAAGTACTGCTCTCATATCTGGGGTGGCTCTTCTGTCCAACTGTTAGATAGGGTGGAATCAAATGCATTTCGTCATATTAACTCTCCTCCTTTAGTTGATGATCTTTCTTCTCTTTCTCTTCGCTGCAATGTTGCTTCACTCTCTCTTTAACGGGTACTGCACTTTAATGGGTCATGTTCGGTGGATTTGGCATCTTGTGTACCGCCAGCAAGGCCGTGGGCTTGTAACACTCGTCTTGCTCGCGGTGCCAACCGTTTCTGTGTGGATGTCGGTCACACTAGAATAACCGTTATAGTACATCCTTCTTTCCTCACACAGCCAAACTAAGGAATGCTCTGCCTTCTTCTGTGTTTCCACACTCATACAATGTCTCACTTTAAAAAGCTGGTTTTTCTGCATCTTTGTGGTGTAGATTAATAGAAGCTTTTCTTTTCTATTTTTAATTTTCTTTTACTCTTTATTTTTTCACCCCCTAGGCCCTGCTGTGGGTTGATGACCTGTGCCCGAGTGGGCTATTCCCCGAAAAAAAATAAAAATATCCTTGGGCATTAACACTCTTGGTGCCTCTACCTCTTCAACCTTGATGTCCTTCACTCTCTCTACGTCTTCCACAATCTCCTCAACCTTTGGCTCAGTTTCTCCCGTATCCAACATCTCGTCTACCTCGGCGTTGGTCACTGCCCCCTCAACCCCTCGCAGCTCATCCAGCACATCTTCACCAGAGGACACCTCACTGAGATCATTTTCACTTTGGTCACTTTGGTTGTGGTAAGCTCTTAGGAATGGCTTCCATGCCCAAACAACTTGTGCCTTGGTCATGTTCTCCCATGCAACCACTGCATTGTCCACCGCATTTTTGATAGTGTAGCACTTCCACCAGTCTCGTGTCTCCTGTCTGTTTTTCTTCGCCTCCGCTGCTCTGCTCTTCCCTGTCTGTCTCCATTGCCTCCTCAAATGTCACATCTGTTGCCTCTCGCAGCTGACGGTAGGTCAAAGAAAAGTACAGTACTTTTTCTTGAAGGAGGCAATTATCTCTTGATCTAGAGGCTGTAGAAGTGATGTTATGTTCTTGGGCAAAAAAAAAA